GAGTGGGTGTAGTAGTAACTGTTGGGGCTCTTATTTAATGTAAAAGTAAACTGTAATTATGCTTTGCCAACAGAAAAGAGCTGCAAAATTAGCCTTGTTCATTTTTAACTATAATGTGTCATAAAGAAATTTACGAAAAATGTAGACTTCAGAGATAGCTATTAAACTAAATGGTTAGCTGTATTACTTCATATTGCAGTGGTGTCAGTGAACTACATACCTGGACTAACACTGGAATTAGACAACATATACAAAATGCAACAAAAGCAAACCCATTTTCTGAGAAAACTTTCACTGCAGGAGAACAGCTGGTCACTATTAGTAAAGGAAAGAAGGAGGTCGTGGCAGAACCTCATTGAGAACATGGATATGACACATAACAGCAAAAAAACATGGACAACCATCCATAAATTTACCAGTGATCCAAAAAACAAAAGAACATATGATGTCACTATAATGTAACTGCAAATCAGGTGTATATCAACTCATTAAAAATGGTAAGGCACCAAATAAACAACCCAAATTTGGAATCAAGAGAAAAGAAGACTAGGAGGTCTGTTACTTTGGGATACATTTTGCAATACCTGTAATAACTGAAATAAACACTTTTAAAGATGGCAAAGCCGTTGGCCTTGATGATATTTGTACAGAACAAATTAAACATTTTGTAGCAATGACAAGTGCCTGGCTACTCCAGTTGTACAGTATGCATGTAACCAAGCACCCAAGATATTGTAGCACTCCTAAAAATGGGAAAGATTCCTTCGATCCAAAGAACTTAATACTTAACTTTACTAAGCCACCTTTTCAAACTATGAATGCCTTATCTTAAACTGTTTGGCAAGGGTTGTTGAAGAACACCTGATCCCCAAGCGAGATGGCTTCTGCCCATGGAAATCATGTACCAGTAAAGTATTAAACATCATACAGCACATTAAAGATGTTTTTGAAATGGGAAAGGTCTATACTCTTAGACCTGTTAGCAGCTTACAACACTGTAAATCACTGGAAGTTCCTTCCAAAAATATATGATATGATGAATGATTACAAACTTCTACAAATAATACAATCCTTACTAGCAAATTGATGTTTCTAGTACACAAGAAAGCAGAACCAATTACACAAGAAGCAGAACCAATGGTGAAAACAAAGGAATGGCCTACCTGCAAGGGAGCAGACTTGTACCTATACTATTTAACATCTACACTAATGATAAACCACAGTTCATCCTAGCCTAAGACATTTTATTTAAGCAGACAATTTGTGTACCCCTGCCCTTGCCAAGAACTTTGCCTTGACCCAGGTCAAGGCCGTGCTGGCATCAGTGCCCAATGGACTGTCAGACTGTTACATCAAAAATCACCTATGCATCAGTACGAAAAAAAACCCCAAGTTACTTTCTTCCACCTTTGGGACTGCAATGCTAGTAAGCAACTCAGCTTAACCTGGAATGGAATAACTTCACTCACTGCCCAAATCCTATCTACTTGGGAGTGATGCTACAGAACACTGACTGGCTTGCCCATATGTATGAGAACCATGTACCAATGAGGACCTTGCTAAGGCTACAGATTCAGCAAGAGCATATGTCTGTTTCTGGACCCAAATTTGAACATGGTGACAGGCCACAAGAAGAAGCAGCAGCAGCACTATCTATCAGCAAAGTCCTGAAGGCTACATACAGCAAGTCATTTATTTTGCAAGCTACAATATGAATTTCTCCAGTGAATCCCAATTGAAGAACTTGTGCTAAACAACAGCATATTAATTCACTGTGAAATGTTATTGATCTATAGTAAATTCTAATTGTCTCTATCACTAGATACATTAGAGTATGAATTGTACAGAAGTGTGGCAAGAAAATCAGTGATCTGCTTTGTCCAAATTCTTTTTCTGGCTTGAACTCTTGCAAATCCATTGATTTCCATGCTGTGACTCAGAGCAGAGGTTGGTTTTGTTTCAGAGAACATGTGCATTTTTGTGAAATTATATTTCCATTCTAATTTTTTATAATTATCGAGAATTCATAAATGGGATTTACAGTTGCCATACATAATTGTTATTTTTTTATGTACATGTGTGTACAATTCAAAAATACTTAACATTTGTTAAAAAGTTATCTAGTTCTGGTAGAGAGGTGAGAAAGCTAGTATTCAGGCTGAACAGTTTTTAATGCCTTAGTGTTCATATGTGGCTCCTAGCAGACATTATTTCCTTCAACCAATAGGTAATGTTTCTTGATAGAAATTATCATGCCATGTGACCTGCTTCACGTTCACAGAGGAGAATAAAATGCCCGGGAAACTTGTTCTGCCTGTACTCACCAACAAGGGAACTGGAGAGCTGCTGGCAAGGTCTGTCAGCCCCCACTCCCTCACCTTCAGCTATTCTGCTAATGAGAAATGAGCTCGGGGCTGGATGAAGGAGCTGAACTCTTGTACAGAGCAGGGGAGACCCATGAAAAGGGCTAGGGAGGAGGGAGGGCAGTAACATAAAACTCTCCTGAAGCGCCTTACCAAATGTTTTTCTGTATGTGTTTTTCATCTTTCCACATCTTGTCCCCTCCAGCAACTTTCCAAACAAATTTCTTCCCCCTCCCTCAGATTATTATTGTGTGTTCATAAAACACTACATGTTGAGCATCTGTTTACACCTTGCTTAAAGAAGCAGCTTTGAAGGAGGGGTGGTGAGCCATGACATTTCAAGCTGAGGCACCTTGGGGCAGCAGAATTCAGCATGAGTCACAGACAGCTCCTTTGTTTGAATGTGGGGGCAGCGGAAGGGAAGACAGAGCAGTGTACCCTGGGATGCTGGAAGACCTGACCAAACATTATCACTAGGGACCTACTGGTAACTAAAATGGGGCAAGATGAAGGGTTGTTCCTGGTATGCAGAGCTGCATTTGTGGGCATTTTGTGGTGAGCCCACCCCTTGGCACTCCAGAGGCCTTGCTCCTCACTGCTGATTGCTGGAGAGGGCTGCCCTTTGTGTGGCCTTGCTCCTCACTACTGATTAGTGGAGAGGTCCTGGCAGGGGAGGAATGACGAAGGGGTGGCTGCTATCTTGCCCGCTCCCCTTCATACTGCTCCACCAGCCAGTGCCCCCCGCCTCACAGTGCACTGTGAAGCCAGGCAGCAGTGGCTGTAAGGAACACTGGCTCCCACTGGGGAGCCAGCATTTCATTGTTAGTAAGCTTTCATTTTTTTCAAGCAATTCTGTGGGAAATCACATTAAGTACCATTTTTTGCAGCAATTGCAAAAGCACGATTTAAGTAGGTCTCTAATTATCACTGTATGTGACATGCCACACATTCAAATAAAAGTTTTGTGGAAACCAGCTACAAAAATGTTCTATTTTTCAAGCAACATTTTTCTGGTTGGTTGGTCATTTTTACTTTGCATCTATAGCATGTCTAAATTTATGGTACAGTTAACCAGTTAATTGCACAATAAATGTAAAGTGTCAGGGGCTATTATGTTAGGAATGAAGAGGTACCTAGTAACAAGCAGTCTTCTGCAGCTAAAACAGCATGTAGAATGGAAAGGAGTGACTAGAGGAATGACAAACTCTCTAGTTTATTAGCATTAAAACAGGTATACAAAAAGATTTAATCATATGCACTAAGAGGTGCTTTCTGGTCTTGCAAAATGTTGAAGACCAACATGTAAGGACCTCTCTGATTTTGTGGCATTTGGAAAGGTTGCAGGGCTCATTTTTTAGTGCATCTGCCAAATAGGTTAGTCCTGACTGTCTTAAATGGTGTTCTCTCAGAATTCAGTCTCTCTAATGCAAACATCTCTTGGACATGAAAAATTTCTATTTCCTTCCTTTTTCTAATAAATATTGAAATAGTTTGTAGTAATTTCTAACATAAATTATAAGCACATAAATTAAGGCCATTCAGGCAAAGGGACACAGTATATCAGATTTTTAGTTATATTTCATAATATCATGGAGGAAAAACAATAACCTGTACTGTACATTTGCATCTGAAACCAGTTCTATATTCAGCTTCATCCAATTTCCTACTTGTATTCCTTTATGATACATCATGAAGATATCTTGCTCAGAAGCATTAGAAATTATACAAAATCATAAATTGTGCCATTTTACTGCATATACTCAAGTAAGACTCATATAAATAGAGCATAAAAATGCTAAATATTTTCTTTTATGCACAACGTCTGTACATTGAAACCATTTTTTATATTATGTATAGTTTTCTAAACTCTTTGAGGATTGGCTTTTCAGGATAAAATGTGTATTCATAAATAAAAACTGAAAATTCATAGCCTATTTTTTGTAAATTAAAAGTACAAATGGAAGGAGGGGAAATTCAGATGCTAACTATCCAAGAATGCTTAATAATAATATTGCTAAGCAATTTTTGGTGATATGCAAGAGAAATTGCCCCTCAATTAGTGATTCTGTTCTTTGTCCCTCTAGTTATAGTATTTCATAGTACTGTACTACTTTAGGAAATTCAGTTTCTCTTAGTAGATATCAATATTTTAAAGAAGTGGTAGTTTATATTTAATGAAGACCTTGAAATAACTGCATTATTGTTGCTCATTGATAGCCTCTCTACCCAAAACATAACCACTTCAATTATAATACTAAGGGCACAGTTTGTATTTATTCTACATCTATTATTCTTCATCTTATAGAGAAATAAAATGAACATTCATCAAAAAGATTTACTAAAACTATCCTTCAATATTTTAGAGGCCATAAAAAATATGGCATTGCACATTATGTTCAAAATTCTCCTGTTCCTTTATACGTTAAGAAACATTTAAAAAAAACCCAACAAATCAAAAAATCCTCAATAGCACCAGCATCTTTGTTTCTTTCCAAGAAAAGTCAAGTACAATTTATAAATGTTACTTTTATTTGAAAAGAACAGACTGTAGTAGACCATTTCCATTAATACAAGACTTCCTTCACATTTAAGTTAAGTGGAAATCTTTCAAAGTTCCATTATGGGATTTCTCCTCAGGTTGGCTGGCAGTTAAAGAACCTAGTAAATGCATTGCGGGAAGACCCAAATGGAGTGATCTTAACCTTGAAAAAACGGCCTCAGAACACCCTGGTTTCTGCTCCTGCACTTCTGAAGAATGTGAGGTGGAAGCCTCTTGCACTTCAGGTAAGAAGAGGATTGTTGAAACTGTAGTGTTTTATAGTAAATTATGTGTTTTGTTACAGAACAAGATATAGAGTGGTTATTCCTTCTAAATAGAAGAAGTAATTTTTTTTTTAAGTATAATATAGTTCACAATAATTGAATGTCTCTGGTACACTAACAAAAAAGGCAACTAAAAGAGCTGTTGAGGCACTCGTGTGCCCAAGCCACCAGCAGTCAAGGTTCTTTGGGTAGATGTGATACCTTATTAAACCAACTGAGTAGTTGGAAAAAAGTCACCAGCACTTTTTTACAATAAAGCTAACTATTTAACCCCAATTCTTTTGTATATGCATGGATGAAGGAGCCCCAAGGATGGAGAGAAAGGTGCCAGTAACATTCAGTATAACTAGTCACTCTGAGCCAGCTATAATTCAGTTGCTTATTGTCTCTAGAAAAGGCAATGTTGTCCTTCCAGTCATTCGGCATTTCAGTTGTCACAGACAGTTTTTTTATAGAAGGGATTCTGGTTCCTTTCCATTTCTGGCACAGAACTTTTTTCAGTATTTTTAGCCAACAGGCATATGAATTTTTCAGCAAGTGTACTCATAATACTTTTATACTTACATACTTTGAGGAAGCCTATCAATATGAAAAATCATTGGCTATGAAGAATAATGGTTAGTCTATTAATTGTCATAGTTTTCTTCTTGTGATACTGAATTAGAAACTTCCTTTTCAAAATACTGGCCATGTAGTACATGTAATACTAAAACTGACCTGCCAATAAAAGCTAATCTCAAAAAGCAACTGATAAAGGCAACCATCCTGAATAAACAATGCAATATGCCTATTTATTTCTACCTTTTAATATGTTATAATGTTCACTAGAAAATTTCTACACTTTATAGCATGAGGGCTTCATTGGATTCAAAGGTTTTGTTTGGTTCCTGAAAACTGTAGATAATTTTCTGAAATATTAAATTTTATTACTATAATCCATCTTTCTCCTTCTTTATTCACCATAGCACTAGAACTTCCTCCTTTCACCTTTTTTATCTTTCATTTCCAATAATGACCATATCATCACACAGCTACTACAGTTAGCTCTTTGGCTGATCCTTACTGACTGAAAGCACTATCATATTTTCTTCTGAGCCACAGCTGTGTGGAGTGTCCTTTCACAGGAAGGATTATGTGACACCAGGAAAGATTCAAAACATAACTGTTAGCACACAAGAATCAATTATCCTCTTCTCTAGAATGTTGAGAAACTTGTAGAAAGGCATTTAGCCATGCAGTTAATCTGAACACTCTGGACCATGACATGGACATCACATTTACAAGAGTGTTGATGGAGTTGACAAGTAAAAATCTCTCCTTTGTTTTAGCAAATTAATTATGTCATTAAAGATCCTGAACAGAAATGTAACTTAGACTCAGGAAGCTCTCTCATTATGAAAAATAAAATGTATCCAGCTTTCCTCTAGCGCACTACTATTCAATCCATCCCATCACTGCCTCAATAGTTCAGTGCATTGGAGCACATTAAGCTACTTCCTAAGTGATGAGCAGTTTCTCTTTTTGTGGTGTGCCATCCCCTGAGGATTGCTCCATGTTTTTTTCCTCACTTAGGAACAAGCAGAAAATGCATTTGTTGCTGTCTGCAATAGAATGTTTTTTCCTATAAAGAAGGGATATTGCAATGAAGGAACTAAAAATGTATGTTGTTTCAGTATAGCTATAAAAAATACCAATATTCTTGAGTTCTCTCTGTGTGGATTTTATAAAACAAGAAATTGGAAACTACTGTAGCCAAGTATAGCTCTTTCTTTTATAGCATCTTTCTTGCTTTAGACAGTCATGGTACAATGGGGAGCACAGCACAAGTACCTAGATGCACTTCAAGATAAGAGTTCCTGATGTCATCTGTTTCACTCTTGTATTTTACAAGCAAACACCAAAAATATCAGACATAACTTTTGACAGTTTTTCAGGATCTTTGATCTATGCACATGCAAATATTTTCTATGTACATGTAAAATAGGACACTTCTGGATCTGTAAAAATAAATGGATTTATTGTCTGCAAATACAGGTTTTATATGCAGAAGTGGATTTCATAGACAAAATGCACAGTAAACTGACTGGAAATTTGGGTTTTATACAATGTATCTTGAGCTCTGAATCAATCATGAACTGAATAATTTATCTTTGATTTATAAGAATATCTTACCTCCATTCCAAGATCAACAAGAACTAAATATTATGCAGAGAACTCTTACAGAAAAGATCATTTCTCTACTCAAACAATTTCATAGAGTTTCATTTTCATTGTTTGCAGTTATTAACAGGAATGCAAACACAACTGAAGGCTCAATCAATGATTTGCTACCTCTTGCTTATTAAGCATATCTTTGTCAACCTCGCTAGCAACACTTTGAGAATAAGTTAAGCTTCTAGAGTGATATACAGAAGCTTGCATATCCATCATGAAATCTTAGGAAAGCATACCATATAAGTATATACCTACATTAGGCCAAGGTCTCTTCTACTGCCAGAACATGAAGAAAAATATAAATACATTTTAGTGATGCCAACTGTTATGATCTTATCAGGAATCTCTCCAAATCTTCTCTACCAGTGAAGACCATAAATGGAAAAAGCTGGAAATTTAATTTTCTTTACAGTATTAGCCTTATTTTTTATTTTCTTGTTAATTTGGAATCCAATCTACTATCCATCAAAGGCAATGAAAACACTTCCAGGACTTCAGAGGGCAGCACACAGATGATTTGATATTTGATGGATTTATTATAAAAACCACTGGCAGTTGCTCCCTACTGGCTGCAAGTGCTGTAAATCTGTTGCTTGCTCTGAAACTGAATATAGAGGCAGGAAATTTAGCGAATTCAGGGAAAGGAAATTTAGATAAAGACAACTTTTTGTTTGTTTGGGTTGTTTTGGTTTTTGCAACTCTAATGTCTTTTTCAACTTCATAGATTCAAAGTACAGGATTTTAGTGTTTCTCTCATATTCTAATGAGAATGATAATTCATGCATTTTCCTCCTCCTCTTCCCTAGAAGAATTTTCCATGAGCAGTTTTTTTCAGAGGGTGTATGAAGGAAAGCTCTACATATAGTTGATTTTCAAGATATTCTGTTGTTTAGCTGAACAGAATCAATTAAAGTTTAGTTCTGTTGTGATTATTCAAATACAAATACACCATCTTCATAATTTACTACATCAACAAATTAGAGTTCCAGTATTGATTATGAATATTAGTTTCCTATATGGTGTGTTGGTAATCTACTAAGCCATTAGATGAGTTAATTGTAACAAATGCTTATTCTGTCCAGGGAAGTTTAGGTTAGATATGATGAAAAACTGTCTCACTGGGAGGGTAGTAAAGCACTGGAACATGTTACCCAGAGAGGTTGTGGAATCTCTATCCTTGGAGGCTTTTAAAGCCAGGTCCTTGGCTAGGATGATCTAGTTGGGGATAGTTCAGCTTTGAGCAGGGGGTTGGACTAAATGACTTCCTGAGGTCCCTTCCAACTCTCATTTTCTATGATTCTAAAAACAACTGGGAATTAATTAAATTTAATATATGCTACTGTCGCAGGGCACCTCAGTGCCTGCTCCTAGAGAGGAGAAACTGCCAGGGGGAGAGCCCTGGCAGAGCCTAACAAGCGCAGCTGCGGGTTGCCAGAGCAACTAAGGGGAGCCAGCTGCCTGTAGGAGGCAGGGGCCTGGCACTTATAAAGCCCAGGGCTGAGGCCAGGCTGGTAGTTCTCTGCCAGCAGCCGGAGAGGCAGGAGCTCCCTCGGCCGAGAGATGGGTAGAAGCCCGATGGCCAGTACAGCTCGTGAGAGCTCCGAAGGTTGGAGCAATGGTACTAAGTTATAGCCAGGCGGCTTACTTTGTAGTGGCTAGGTGCCATAGGTTTTAGTTGTAGCCAGGAGGCTTGTAGTATGTTTTGTGGTTGGGTATTACACCGGAGGCTTGGGTGAGGCTGTAGGGGTTGGAGGAGGCCTCATAGGGACCCCAGAGGTGTGGGGCCCCTGAGCGCAACCAGTGGGTTGCGGGCGGGGAACAGACCCCGGGTTGTATGCGGGGTACGTAGACCCCAGCCCCA